ATCGCTAGGCCACCGAAAAACCCTTTTTGTTGTATTACGCGATCAATTTATGACAGCAAAGCAAGGTACATTTTGCCATTACTTAGGTGAATATCTATACACAATATGTAATAGTACTATCTCGTTCCTTAGCTTAACAACAATGGTACCTTAATGTTAATTTCTTGAAGTAATTCGGAAAATTATGTAAAACTTTAAAGACAAAAATTGTGGATTCGAAATTACCTGTTTTCGGGATCACTCTGTAGATGAACGCCCGGTATAAAGAGGCGCGTCGTTACTAAAGTGAAGATAGATGCTAAAGGTAATTGATTTAATTTCTAGGGTTGTGTTTCAGCCGTCGCTATCATAATTAACGCTGCAATTAATCCGCTCGCCGTTTGCAACCGTTGTCATCCAGATATTTCAGTGGGTTTTGTTCCCCCGAAAACTCTTGTCATTTCGAGGAAGACGAAAATTAATATTTTAGAATTTCAGTTGTTAATTGGACTGCTGATTTTGAGAGATTCCGTCAATTAAGTAAGCATAATTAACGATTGGCAATGAAGTTGTAAAAGCCCGCCCGCCTTGAGCTGAGCCTTTATCTCAAAAGAAGCGCTCTTAATTAATTGGAATTTTGACACCAGTCCCGTATGAGAAGGGTTTAATTAATTTCAAACAGTTTTAAATTTCAAAAGTTATCGAAGGAATAAGCGTACGAGATGGGAATTCCAGTTGTCTCTACCCGAAATAGGTGATTAGATAAATAGAAAACGCTATACGAAAAGTGATTTTTACCATGTTTGCTTGCCATAAGTGCATTAACTTATCGTGCTAATTTTTGCTGAAAAACCGTACCGTATCTAGCTGAAATCTTGAACTGTGTTGGCATTTTTGCATTTGCTTTCCTTAGATTCGTAAGTACGTTAAGTGACCGCCGCCATCTAAACTCGTCCGATTTCGATTCCTGGAGTTACTCTAATTGTAATTACCCGAGGTTTTTGAAACCGATCCGCCAAACCCCTGCTACTGCCGACTTTGACTAAAGGCAAGGCCGTACTCTTGGTGGTGCTCGAGTCCGCCCGTCCGTCCCGTTCACAGAACACACCGGTTGCCCCGTCCTAAGTAAAAAAAGACCCGTAAATTAGACTCCCAGTCTATGATAAGTTGATCACGAATTTCAAGGGTACATTTAGAATATCTAAATCTCCTGTGACATAATAATTAAAATTGTTCTTTCACTATACGGTTGACAAGATATGCCGGGATGTTCAGTTAGAGATCTTCATAATCGACAATCCCTGAATATTTTTCTCAAGTTGGATACTTAAAACAACAGACCCAATTCTCAAGGGTACTTTAAATGAACCATACCAATACCAATCACAACACCCTAAAAAAAATCGGCTGTGTAAGTAGAACAGAGCCACGAGACGCCATCTTGAATTTTGTGACGTCACAAAGTCCAAAATGGCGTCTGGTGGCGCTGTTCTACTCATATAACCGAGTTCTTGAGGGTCATGGCCTTAGAGAGGCCGTTACCTTAGACTCTGGCCCAAGAGCGTAACCTTGGACCTTGATCGAAGGTCGTGGCTTCGGTGATGGTCTTGGATTTTGGATCAAAATCGTGACCTTGAATTTTAGATCAAGGTTAAGACGTAACCTTGTTTTGTGGTGCAAGGTCATTCTCTCCAAGGGTTTGGTATAATCACAATCTTGTAGAGAATGTTACACATCACATACTACGATTAGATCCGCCTCCCCTTCCAGCACCCTTAGGTTTAACCCACGTGCTGTGATGGCTTGAGTAACGTTGAGAGGTCGGACCACCCTAGTCACGGAGGTAATACAAAGGGCCCGAATGTGAGGCCTAAGTACGCGTGGACCCTGTCCACCTTCCTACCGCAATCCAAAATCTTACCAGTTCTGTACCTAACAATACAAAGAACCGGTGACCTATTATAATTTGATTCGCCATTTAAGGCTTCAGCATTTTGGTAGTGCCTACTCAGTTTGAAATATACTTGCATTATTAAAACGCGCAGCATGTACGTAATGTGCACCATTAAAAGGTTTTCTGTGCGACAATACGTAGAGATTAACGACTATTGCGTACAGTTGCCTCTAAAATTCAAAAAGTTATAAACGCCGGGAGAAATTCCAGAACACCAATAATTTCATTTACGTTTCACTTTAGCCTCACTAAAAAACTTTCCGCCTTTTTACACCTTTCAACTTTTACTAAAACTTTATTTCATCTTCGGATCTTGTTACGCCTTTTAAACTTTAAAAATGGTTCCCATCGAGAAGCCTGCAATTTCACTTGCAGCATTTTCGTTAAGAGAATTAAGGCCGATTGCTCAAAAGTTCAAGCTCTAAATCAAGCGAGCGATTAAACTTTGTCAAACGTAAGTAATCAATATGAAATTCCTCTCAGGTATTCGCGACTTAAATGCACATAATTCGAGGTAAAGAAAATCGCCATCCGAAGAAAATTGGTCTTTAAAGTAACAGTCACGTAATCCGTTTAATCCAGCGTTATTCCTTGGGGAGTGTACTAAAGTTAATTTTAATTAGTAAGAAATAATAGTGTAGAAAAGTTGAATGACATACTTTCCCTCTAATAATGTAATTAGAAGAGCGTGCGAAAAGGTGGATAAATTTACTAAGTAATTTGGGTCAAGTGACTATTTGTGATTTTGATGTAAAACCCCATCAAATAATTGGGAAGGGTTCGAACTTTCTTAATTATAAGTTAGCTTAAGGATTTGTTGAGAATTTGATAAAGTATGCCAGCATAATAGTTTGTACGTAGGGCTGTTTTTGATAGAGGAGAGCTGAAGTTGACAAATGGAAGGACCCTTTAGTTCCTTCGAGACTTCGAGTCCTGCGTTTGTTCGTCTTCTATTTACTTCCCCGGTACGTTTGTAAAGGTTAACAACTAAATGAGTTTAGAAAACATGCTGTCTGGGAGTGATTAAGTTTAAACGTTGAACGGGGAATGCCAATTTTATTACATTTACTATACGCCCTGACGGTGCTTTGGACTAAGTTACGCTGCTCCAATTCCAAGCTGACATCACGATTACCTACTGATACTTCTGGGTTCAAATTAGTGCAACTGATGGTATTAACAAATAGACAAAGGTTAAAGGTTCTTTTCAAAAGAGCTTGTAGTGGTGAATCGAGCGGACTGCCAAGTTCAGGCTGAAAGTTAATTTCCGAATTATTTTTGGCTGCAAGCTCAATAATTGAAAGCTAGGTACCCCTTGAGTATAACAAAAATCAAGGAAAACCCGCCGCGACAACAGCGGTCTTCCGTCTTGGGATTCGAGAGTAGATGACTTTCCAGCCTTTCTATAAAATCGCGCAGGGACGTGTGTTTAAATTTTACCTTTGTGTTCTTTTAATTGCTGTTTCTGTATAGGCCTTCATAGCTTTCCCAATTGAATTTTTCTCAATTATTAACTTTTACGATTTTCAAAGCTGGCATTCTAAGTGAGACTGGCGTTACGTAGTAATTTTGACTTTATAAATTTAATTTTTTGCGCTGAATAAGGTCCTGAGGATTAAATCTGTGAATTTAAAAGATAGTTTAGATTAAGATAATTAAAGTAATAAGGCCACCGCGCTAGTCAACCTGCAAATTGATGGGGATTTTTTCATAGTTTCAATGTGGAAAAGTGGAACTGAGCCAAGGCAGTGTAGCGATGAAATTGACACACTCCCCCATTGATATCATAGGGATAATGTCATCTCTCTCAAGTGAAGTGGTCCTTAAATATCCGCTGTGAACCGTAAGTAAAAAGTTTTTCTTGGAACTGCTTTATACGTAAATTAGAACTATATCGTCATACGTTATTAATTTCACAATGTGCAAGGGGTGGTAAAGGGAAGCGTTCATTTAGCAAAGACTCCTTAAGAATGGGGTACAAAAGAAATTTTTTAACAGCTTCTTTTTAGACCAGTTTCCCATTATATTGGTAATAATTTTTATATTATTCACTTTCAGAGCACTCTGTTTCAATACTTTCCAAAATAAGTACGTCATCACCCCATTACTAGAGATACAATCATGTCGAAACTGGACGTGTCTCGAGAAACCTATCAAATTCTCTTTGTGAGTACCGAGTTCTGATACTTCGTTCTGGGGATATTGGATTTTGAAGATTAGTTCATCGACAGATACGTTTTGTCAAGACCTTCACTTTTCTTTTTGTGAGTGCCCACTTTCGACAATATTCTCGACATTTCAAACCTGACAAGTGGATCTGCTCCATGATTTTATGTGATTTTCGAATATGCAATTAACTGTTTTTATTAGAAGGACATAGCATCAAAATTTCATAAAAATCGCTCCATAAATAAACTCTGCATACGCTAATCTGTTTCATAGTATGTCGACTAGTGTTATGTATATACGGCTGCCTGACAACGCCTATGATTAAAAAAAGTGGTACAGGTACTCATACAATATGATCTAGGACCACCTCTCTTATTCGCAATAGAGGGCAGCAAAACTGAGTTCGGAGCAGCGCTTTCGCATCGACTCAACAACGGCATGAACGACCAATTGCCTATGCCAGTTAAAAAATTCTAACTTACGCATCATCATCATCATAAGTAAAAAAGTTGGCATTTTGCACGGCGCACATTTGATTTTTACTATGTGCGATATGTTTGCCTTTGCTAGTGACATTGTAGTTTTCGATTTTTACTACATGTGATATGTTTTTATTTACTAGGAGCATCTATGGTTAAAATTTCAAAGAAATATCTCCATAATGAATCTGATTTTTAATATATGCGATATGTTTGTCTTTACTAGAAGTATCTAATATTCAAAGTAAATAATTAGTAATCTGGTTCCTCCTTTTGAGCTAATTTATTTTATGGAATGTTTAGTCTACAGCAGTCTCGTTACCATTTAAAAAAATCTCATTCTTTAGAATGGTAATGATATTGACTGATTGAACTACGGATTTTACCAAACTACAATACAACCACTTTTATCGAACTTCTTACCTGTAAATTCTTGACAGATTGAAAGGTTTTTCTTTTATATTCTTCAATGACTACTCCATTATTCTTTCAAGCAGCGTTACAGACTCCCACTAAACATTCTGTCCAGATGCTTCTGAAATTAAAGAAAAATGTCACTAAATTTAATACCACTTAAAAATGTATTTATTTAAAAGCCTTGAGCCCAGTTGTTTAGAAGTTCCTCCATGATCAATAAATATTTTTTTATAAAACTTTCAAAGGTCTTTAGAGATCATTAAAGGTTTTTAATAGGATTATTAAATTAGATTATTTTGAGGATTTTCGAAAAATTCGAAAAAAATCCTTCAAACTATTCGTGGTATGTTTTAAAGCTCATCACTCTTTAAAAAGCTCTTCATAAATGGTCTCCCAATACTCGTTAGAGATCTTGCGCAGAAGTTTACCGATTTACAAATAGCTTTTTTTAAATGTTAATAATTTTACGATGTAATGGGATTCCTTACAGAATCTTTCATGAGTAATGTACAAAATCTTCCAGCTCAGCCAGCCGGAAAAAACATACACGAATTCCTTTGCCTGTGTTCTTTTGGCATTTGTTTCAGATTGTGTTTCTACAGAATTTATAAATCTTCCAGAAATTATCTCAAACATCCTAGGGGGATTTCTTGAGGGAGTTCCTAAAAAGTTTAAGATTCCATAAAGTATTATGGAACAATCTCTGAAGAATGCCGAGAAATCTGTGATCATGAATCGCTTAAAACTTTACCTTTCTGGAAAAACCCTTGAAGTTTTCCTTAAGAGACTGAGGAATCACTAGCATACACTGATATATTCTAGCAAAACTCCATCAAAATCTCAATAATTCTTGACTGTACTCAAAACAGCTTCCCCGAAGGGTATCCCAACACGTAATTACCTAATTAATCTAAAAGAATTAGAGAAAATACTTAAAATGCGGATCCTCTGAATTTTTGAACCATTATGCAATACCTAAAGTATCTCTAACCAAAGAGATTCTGAAAAACTCCAAAAAACCTTGAGTGCATTATTAATACATTTTCGCAAAAAAAATTCCATACAGCATAATTCGCACTTCGTATTGGTCGATGCCCTCTATCCGTACGATCCACGGTATTTAACTTTTTTTTTGTTGATAAGGTTGACGAATATATTGCTATGTGCTCGGCTATGTGCAATGGCAAACTGTCACTAATCCCCAGAAGCAACAAAATCTTTTATACGAGACGATTACAATTTTTCCAAAGCACGTCCAGCATCAGCCACAACTAAAAACCTCGAGGTTTGAAAAAACTCAGCGTAGAATACATAACGCTGATTACTAACAGAAAATTTATCGTGATAACCCATCCTGGGTTGTAATTTGGGCTCGATTACACACAAAACTAACTTTTAAAAACGAAACAAATTTATTCGACATAAATAAATCTAATAAGGTGAACGAAAAATAGGCACTCAGGGTCAGAAGACATTTTTCACGCAGCAAGCGATCGATAGCACAAATTAATTAAAAATCTTAGTTACCTTAAAGTGTTAGTAATCCAAAATATCCAATAGTAACTGCGATTTCAACAAGCAGGCGCCTTATCGCAAAACAGCAACTGATATTTCTCCACTATAATTATTTCACTTGGATCTCGATTTAGCCTACAATGTGTTCGTTGTAATTACTGATGTAAAATTGGTTCTTTGATGGTGGAAAAACTCCCTTTAACAGGTACCGGGAACAACTACTTTTTCCACTTAAATACCCATTCTAATCAGCGTAATAAAAATTGTTTATGGCACTTAACTAACGTTCTTATAAAACGGTATAACTGGCAAAACTAACTGTCTTGTAACAAATACGCTCAAATACGGCTAATAACGATTAACCTCCAACACCAAACATACTAAAATTAAAGTCCGTCTCTCCTATTTAAAACAATTTTCTCTTTTTTTCCAAATTCCCGGTCCATCGATATTCTAGGTGCTGATAACAAATTAAAACGTCCACATGACGTAGTTTACACAACAATATGTTTAGTGTACCCCTAGGAAATAAAAGTGTGCGATTTCGTTCGATCCCTTAATGATATTATAATAATATGCTCCCTCGCATTTCAGAAGAGCGCTTGTAAAGGGAAAATGGAGCCCCTAAACGAGATTTATGTCGGTGTTGTCAAATCTCGCTTATTTCTCGAGAGCTGTATACTGTTGAGGCACTACGTAGGCAAACTTTGCCCTTTAGAATACCCTCAAAAAGTAAAGCAAAAATTAACAAGACGTGCTGCTAGCAAACTTTGCGATAATCGCTAATTCAAACTGTTCGGAAGGGAATTTCCGTGGTTCCGGGGTCAAATGTTCGGGGCACAACATACACCTTATACGACAAAAATCGTTTTATTAGCTACCATTCACAACACCTCAAATCTCGTACCCGTAGGCAAAACAGACGTATATACTCAGGGCCTGAACTACATATTTTGCGTCTATAAAGCCCCCCCCCCCCCCCCAACGAAACAATCGCAAGCATGTTAGACCCCAAGCAAGATTTGTGTCTAGAAATTATAAAACATTTTTTATTTATTTATATTTTAGATTTGTATTAGTGTTATAAAGTATAATATCTGTAGTGACTGTAATTTGAATGAAAAACAAATAACGTATTTCAAGTTGCCCCCTAGGCACGCTCATAAAATTGAGAAAAATTGCTAGAAGACACCTTCATTAAGATTTTTCAACAAAATTTGCGGGAGAAGCCCTAAATTTTCCACAATCTTAATACAAGATTCACATAACTTCGTCGAAATGTGAGATTATAATGTTACTCCATATTTAATTCTAACTTCAATTTCGTAAGAGGTTGTTATTTTTCCACGATGTACTGTAGAATTATTTCCAAAATTTGGTTTTTTGCCGCCCCCAAAAATATTTGCCGCTATGGGCCCGGGACCACGTTACCCCATGCTAAATACGGCCCTGTATACTGTCCAGATCCCTTTTTCATAAAATGAAATCTCCATTCGACGCCATAGAAGTATAATATTGTTAATTTTATTCCGCGTAAACTGTAATAAAATATACAGGATGTCCCTCGATGGATTAAGTAAGATGGAAAATTTTTGTTTGAAAAAAAAACAATTCTTATATAATTTGTGACCCGTAATGTTTATAATATAGTTATGTTTTTCTCTAGCCCAAAATAGTTCAGATGAAGAAGTAAAATAGTGTATAAATAATGATCATTTTTCTTTAATTTGCAAACAACAGCTTTTTGCTCGTCTAGTTCATTTAGGGACGTACTGCATACAATTTAATCTTAACTAATTTCCTGCAAGGAGAGTTTATTGACGAGATAATTCAGTTTTATGTGTCTTGAGAACATTACATGTGGTTATGGGATTCTAAAAAGAAAGAAGTAAAAAATTTATTCGCTTCGCTTTGCTAAAGACAAATAGGATTTACTCTTTTATAATTCTTAAGTAAATAAGGATATTTCTGGGCGTAATCCTTATTAGTAATTGCTACAGTAACTTTAGACAAGGATGGTTCTTGGGAATTATTCTGCATGCAAAGCTCTCCAATATAGTATTAAAAATGGATCATGTATCTAATCCTCAGTAAGCTTTTTCCGGGAGCTCAAAAAGTTCATTTTGATTCAGGATATCAATTATTTGCAGTTAGGCTCCTCTGAAAAATAATTTTGGATTGAATAAACGGGCGTTGTAACGGAACACTGTCGCCACAAAAAACCACCAAACGCAATTTGATATACTTACAAAAAGTTGTAAGCATCTGACATCTTATACATATAAATTAGGAATGCATTACATCCGAATAGCTCTAAAATTGACTTTATTTAAAAAAGAAAATCCGAAATTGGATTTAAATTCTCGTATTCTATATACGACTGATTAAGGAAGGGATGGTTTAATGGAAAACCAGCCCTGTCAATTTTCATTGACAAGTAAAAGAGGAAATGATCTGGTCTCAACGTAATCTGAGAGTCGTTTTATGAGTTGGGATCTAAAGGCAGCATGGATTTTATGCGACTGTATATTCGTACACTTTCTCTTACTATACAAAATTTCACTAGCTTTCAATTAGCTAGGATGTAATTATCTTCTTTTCTTGTTTTAATTTATCTTAATTTTTTTATGGGCTATTAAGCGAAATCGAAGCGAATCTAATTATAGGATGCTTTCCTAAGATTTCATTCAGTAAAGTAAATTGGAAATTAAAGGTACTGCAAGCAGCTGCCTCTCTACCGATTAAACCTCGCAGGTATTGATCTTGTGAAAATGCTTCCCGTGGGAATTTCTATTTGTATTTGTTTTCGTGTCTATTATTCGACAAGATCTCTGGAAAAACATATCCGGTTCGTTTGGCAAGGGAAACGCTTCTATCGTTTACGCTAGTATGTTGCCGGAAATAATTAATTTTGCAATTTACTTATTCGTGGTTAATATAAATGGAAATTATGCATTTAAAGATAATAAAGATGAAATAAACATGAAGAATCGCATAGGATTTTCTGTCAATGAAATTTTATCCGTAAATGAAAATACAAAGTAACAATAGTAGAAACTAGCAAAGAGCATTTTTTACCCTCACTTTGTGAGTACCCTGTTCCGACACTTCGTCTTACAAAATACATTATATCTCCATTGCTAGTGATGCGATTACGTGGAATCTGGTACAGTTTTCCCTTTGCAAGTACTACAAATCTGCAACAAACGAATTCGTTTCCAGAGAAGGATTCTTCACATGACGTTTTTTTGCTTTTCTCATAAAACTTAATAAGGTAAAAATACCTTTGAACATCAAGAGGGGCTATATGATGTTTGAGGTTCAGTAAGATGTAACGTTATTAGGAGTCCGTTAACTTGCCCCCCCCCCCCCCCACTGAAAGATTTGATAGCCGTATTATTTTAAAATGAATGCGCTCGTTATGCGCTCATATGCGCCACCGATAATAACTCTTGCGCCATTATCGTTTTTTAGAAATCCGAAAAAACATTGGGGGGGGGGCAAGTGAACGTAGCCCCCCCCAGTACGTATTTTGTCCCTTGTAACTAGGTCACCTGATACATTTGGTTATGCGCTCAATTGCGCCACTTGAATTAAAGCTAG